AACAAGGTGAATCTAAGAATCAAGTGAATAAATAATCTGATGTACAGAATGAACTGGTGATTATAATGAATCAGGGACACAGAAAGGGAATGGACTGACTATTCTTGGGGGGGAAAGGGGAATGGGAGATTCGGGAAGAGACTGGACAAAAATCGTGCACCTATGGATGAGGACAGTGGGTGGGGAGTGAGGGCGGAGGGTGGGGCGGGAACTGGAAGGAGGGGAGTTATGGGGGCGGGGAAAGAGGAACAAATGTAATCTGAACAATAAAAATTTAATTAAAAAAATAAATAAAAAAATAAATAAAAACTAATAAAAAAACAACAACAACAACAAAAAAAAAAGAAGCTGATTAATTTGCCCAAAGCTTAAGGCCAATGAAAAAGCAAAGAGATAAATTCAGATCAATCTAGGATGGAAGAAATCTGGCTCTTAGCCTGTAATCGCCCAAATATTTAGCTTGACAGCATAGACTGATACAGAAAGGGGAAAAATTATGACATGAAGTTTAAAGAAAAGGGATTGGGGAATCAAAAATAGGAAAAGCACTGCAAAGAGAGGAAAGAAAGGTGGGGAGATGAAGATGAATAATCTAGATCGTGATATATCTGATAGGGAATGGGGGGAAAACAAGAACACTGGACTGAGAACAATCTAATGATAATTCTTCCTGTGTCCCTAACTAACCAGTTAATCTTTCTGGACCTTAGCTTCCTGATTTACAAAATTGTGGATGCTGGATGGCATAACAACTTAAATTTCTAAATTCTTTCACAATTTTCAAAACATTTCACAAGTATTATTTTCATTATATTTCACAGAGCAGGAATTTGGTTTTACTCACTACCATATCCACAACACCTGGTTGGTACAAAATAGGCACAAAATACTAGCTGAATAGATGAATTTGATCCTGACAATAACCCTGTGAGGAATACAGAACAGGGTAGGTAGTATTTATGCTAATTTTACATACTAGAGGCCCGGTGCATGAACTTCGTGCACGGGGAGGGGGCGGGGGGTGGAGAGACACGCAGGTGGAGGTGTCCCTCAGCCCAGTCTGCACCCTCTCGCAATCCAGGGACCGCTGGCTCCTAACCGCTCACCTGCCTGCCTACCTGATTGCCCTAACCACTCGCCTGCCAGCCTGATTGCCCTAACGGCTCACCTGCCTGCTTGATCGCCCCTAACAGCTCACCTGCCTGTCTGCCTGGATCGCCCCTAACTGTCTCTGCCTCGGCCCCCACTGCTGCGGCTTCGTCTAGAACAGCGGTTCTCAACCTGTGGGTCGCGACCCCTTTGGGTGTTGAACGACCCTTTCACGGGGGTCGCCTAAGACCATCGGAAAACACATATATAATTACATATTGTTTTTTTGATTAATCACTATGCTTTAATTATGTTCAATTTGTAACAATGAAAATACACCCTGCATATCAGATATTTACATTACGATTCATAACAGTAGCAAAATTGCAGTTATGAAGTAGCAACGAAAATAATTTTATGGTTGGGGGTCACCACAACATGAGGATCTGTATTAAAGGGTCGCGGCATTAGGAAGGTTGAGAACCACTGGTCTAGAAGGATGTCCGGAATGATGTCCAGAAGGTCGTTCGGCTGCCTCATCTAATTAGCATATTATGCTTTTATTATACCAACATTCAAAGAGTTTAAAATACTTGCTCACAGTTCCACAGAAAAGTGGTAGAATAGGACGCAAACACAAGTCTTTCAATTACTAGTTCAAAGTTCTTTCCATGTCAATAATTTGCTATATTTTAAGATACTCTTAGGCAGTCAGACACAAGAATAATGAACTCTTCTTATTCCCATCCTTTTGAAGAAAAATCATTAGGATATTGTTACTACAGAAAGCAGTAAATGACTGAAAGAATACCTACCACTCACTAGTGTTACATATGTAAAATAAAGGAGATCAAACTCAATTTCTGATCTTCTTTGATTATCCTTTCTTTTCTGTGTTCCACAATGAGTCTACACCAGGGGTGGGCAAACTTTTTGACTCGAGGGCCACAATGGGTTCTTAAACTGGACCGGAGGGCCGGAACAAAAGCATGGATGGAGTGTTTGTGTGAACTAATATAAATTCAAAGTAAACATCGTTACATAAAAGGGTACGGTCTTTTTTGTTTTTAGTTTTATTCATTTCAAACAGGCCGGATCCAGCCTGCGGGCTGTAGTTTGTCCACGGCTGGTCTACACTCATATTTAGAGCTGGCTACTTTGCAAATGTTTGGTGTTAAATATAAGGGAGACGTTCAAACCTATCTCAACAAGTAAGGTTATTGTTCAAGCCATAAACCTTATAGCAGGCCTCCCTAAGATTGAGGAATTAACCTCCCACTCTCAAGCTTAGAATCAACTGAGTTACAGAGGAAAAGTTTTGACAGAGCAGACGAGCTGGAAAAATCGCTATGTGCAGAGTGGGTTGTAGAGCCAATGAGGCCTGAAACTTTGCTAGAGGCAAAAATGACAATACTGAAGCTGTCCTACTTTGGGTACATCATGAGAAGACAGATTTCTTTGGGAAAGATAATAATGCTAGGAAAAAGAGAAGGCAGTAGAAAAAAGGAAGACCAAATATGAGGTGGATTGACTGCATAAAAGAAGGCATGAGTCTACAGGAGCTGAGTCGGAATGTTGAGGACAGGACATTGTGGATTTCACTCATTCACAGTGTTCCCAAAAGTCAGAGCCCACTCAAAGGTAAGGCAGCTAACATACATAAAACAGAGATAAAAACACAGTAAGAGTCCTAGGGGAAAAAAATCTCCAAGATTCTCGGAAGTACAAGAATGTATTTCAAGAATCTAAGTGAGAAAAAAGAGGGATTGGCTAGAAAATAACTTTCAGATTTGAGTGTACTCATGGCCATGACATGCAGCCTAAGGCCTTGATGATATAGGTTAGTAAGAAAATCTCTATGTGTATTGGGAAGCAAAATCTTTGATAAAAAATAAAAAAATAAAAAGACTGTAAACTCATAGAAAAACAAATCCTTTCTTTCAAAAATAAGTAATTTCTGGGTATGAAATGGCCCCCTCAAAAAATCAAGTACAAGGATATAAACCAAAATATTTTGTTATATGGGAGATACTATACAAGTGGCTGTTTCTTAAAGCAAAATCACCAAAATGCACTTCTCTCCTATAAACAAATAATAAACTGAATAGTCTCCAATAACTTATGCTCTTTTGGTTTCTTCTTTCATTAAGAAGACTTCCATTAGGTATATGCCAAAAGTAAGAAAAACTAATTTCCTCAGCACTCAAATAAAACAGAGTATCTGGGTAAGGAGGAACAAATTATCAATAAGGGGGGTGAAAGACTTTGAAACATGACTGGACCCCAGGAAGAAACAGACCTAGAGACTAAGAGAACAGGGCTTAATCAAAATAAACATTCTGTAAATGTAAAGATTAAATTTAAAGGAATAATTTAAAGGTTTTTAGGGTTCTAATTCTATAATCCAAGTTATCTATAATCTACTGTTCAACTTACCTTTTAATACAGTGGACCCTTAAACAATATGGGTTTGAATTGCACAAGCCTACTGATATGCAGATTTTTTAAAAAAACTGTACAGTACTAATAATGTATTTTCTCTGTATTATGATTTTCTTAATAACATCTCTTTTCTATAGTTTTATTGTAAAAATATCTACAATAGATAAATATGTAAATTTACCGTACATCCACAACTCCCACAGCCAATCAGGAGGGAATATGCAAATTAGCAGGACAAAGATGGTGGTGGCCACAGAGCCAGCTGGAGCGGGCTGGAGGCTTGGGTCGCCTGGGCCGGCCACTGAAGGAGAGGCCTCTGGCAACCCAAGCTTCCTGTCTGCCCTGGCCGACCGCTGAAGTAGGGGCCTGTGGGCGGCGGCCACGGAGCCAGCCTGAGCATGCAGGAGGCTTGGGTCGCCTGGGCCAGCCACTGAAGGAGAGGCCTGCACACGACCCTCAGCCCCTCACCCAGGCTGGCCACACCCCCATGGGGTGAGGGTTCCCTCTGGGGGGCGTGGCAAGCCTGAAAACAGCCCTCAGCCCCTCACCCAGGCTGGCCACGTGCCCCCAGTGGGGACCCCCACCCCAATGGGGGCATGGCCAGCCTGCAAACCACCACAGGCCCCTCGCCCAGACCACACCGCTGCCTAAGGGAACCCCCACCCTGATCTGGGACACCTTCAGGGCAAACCAGCTGGCCCCCATCCATGCAGCAGGCCTCTATTTATACTAATAAAAGGGTAATATGCTAATTAGACTGGGAGACCTTCCAGGAGACCTTCCGGACGTTCTTCTGGACAAAGCCATAGTGGCGGGCCAAGGTAGAGGTGATTAGGGGCCAAGAGGGGAGGGCAGTTATGGGTGATCAGGCTGGCAGGGGGGAAGTTGGGGTGAGCAGGCCATCAGTGGTCAGTTGGGGGAGATCAGGCCAGCAGGGGGACAATTGGGGGTGAGCAGGCCGGCAGGAGGGCGGGTGGGGGCGAGCAGGCCGGCAGGGGGGAAAAGTTGGGGCGAGCAAGCAGGCAGGGGGGGGGCAGTTGGGGGCAAGCAAGCCGGCATGCAGAGTGGTTAGGGGCAATCAGGCAGATGAATGGTTAGGAGCCAGCAGTCCCGGATTGCAAGAGGGATGTCCGACTGCAGGGATTGGGCCTAAACCGGCAGTCGGACATCCCCCGAGGGTCCCAGATTGGAGAGGGTGCAGCCGGGCTGAGGGACACCCCCGCCCCTGCACGAATTTCATGCACCGGGCCACTAGTAATATATAACAAACAAAACCTGTGTCAATTGACTGCTTGTTATTGGTAAGGCTTACAGGTTGGGGGAGTCAAGTCACATGCGAATTTTCAACTGTGCAGGGGTCAGCATGCCTAACCCCCAAGTTATTAAAGGGTCAACTATAATTAATTTTCCCCTCCTACTTAAGTTATTTCACTATTGGTACAAACAATATAAATTTTTCAGCGAAAAAAAAAAAAAAAATGCAGTGACCTTACCTAGTAGCAAACTGAATGAGTGCATTTTGAAGAGTCTGTCTAATTTCAAGAAGAAAAGATTCATCATCACTTAGTGTATAATACCAATACTGGACATAATCCCTCAAGGAAAACTGGATAACCTAAAACAAGAATATTGGGGGAAAAATACAACTATTTAGGATTTTAAAAATAACAGTGGCAAAATAAAACCTAAAGGATTATTTGCCAATTGGTAATTATTCTCTATACACTAAATTGTGGTGGTAAATAACTGCTTTTATTTTAAAAGCATCAATATGCCAAAAACTATTTCAAAAATTTTTAAATTATTTTGGTATCCCAATTCATAAGCTTCCCAAATTTTTTTTAATTAGCTATCTATGGCCAAGTCCACTCCAAATTCACAAAGACGGTGCCTGCAAAAAAAGTAAACTTTCAATGTTATTATATAATGAAGAGTTTTAATCAGTTTGATTTAATAAGATGAAAAGTAATGCCAATGGACCCTAATTCTCCAAAAAAACCCCACAATTTTTCCAAAATTATATCTTCAGATTCCTTTCAAATTACAAAAACGACATAGTTCACTTAATTCTAACACCTTCTATACTGCCAGCAGTATTAAGTTAGCCAATAAATAGCACATAATACAACTTAATTTATAATGTTTTTGTAATTCAGATAAACTAAATATGCGTTTATCTATCAAATGTTAGAATTTTAAGATACACATTACTTATAATAATCATGTAATTTTAAAAAATCAGTGAAAAATATTTGGGGGGAGAATATTTTTAATTCTAACTTTTTTTAAAAACATTTAATCACCTTTATTTGTTTATTGTTTGTTTGTCTTTGTTAATCCTCACCTGAGGATATTTTCCCATGGATTTTTAGAGAGAATGGAAGAGAGAAGGAAAGACAGAAATATCAATGTGAGAGAAACACATCAATTCGTTGCCTCCTGCAGGAGCCCTGAGGAGGGCCAGGGCTGGGGAGGAGCCTGCAACCAAGGTACATGCTCTTGACCAGAATCGAACCTGGGACCCTTTGGTGTGCAGGCTGATCTCCATCCACTGAGCCAAACCGGCTGGGGCAAACTTAGAGTCTTTTTTTTTTTGTTAATCCTCACCTGAGGACATTTTCTCATTGATTTTTAGAGTGTGGAAGGGAGAGAGAGAAACATCAATGTGAGACACACACATCGATTGGTTGCCTCCCGCACAGGCCCCAACCAGGGCTGAGGACTGAGCCTGCAACCGAGGCACATGCCCTTGACTGGAATCGAACCTGTGACCCTTCAGTCCACAGGCCATGCTCTATCCACTAAGCCAAACCAGTCAGTGCTTAATTCTAACTTTTGAATGTTGTTGAATCGAAGAAAGTATATGCACTTTACCAAGTAATAAAACTAGTAGGGAATTATGTCTGATTTACCAAAGCAGTAAGTTTGTTCATTAGCTAAAGATTACACTTTAACTATAAAATAACTAAAAACATTATCAAATATGTCAGTAAAAACTTTTTTTCTAAATGCAAAATCAATCAAAAGGCTTACTATTAAATACAGTAGCTCATTATAAATTAGTTCATAAATAAGGCAGCATCTTTAAATTTAGAACCAAGGGTAGAATTATATTTCTAGCATGTTACATAAATAGCAAAATTATTTTCAAAAGAAATACACCTAGCACACAATATATGGAATTCAAATACCACATACTGAAACTCACTTGCTGGAGAGGTTCATCAATTATATTGGCACCAGTTAATCTTCTATCGATCTTTATAGTCCCGGCTTCACGTTTCATTTCTTCTAAACACTTAAAGGAAACCATCACATCTTACTGCATAGTTTCTTGATTTAAAATCTCTGTGGTTTACTTCTAACTGAATATTCATTGTAACTTTCCTGTCATTATCTTCAAGTACATAAATAACCTTATTTCTTGATACTCTAGTAAAAACAAAACACTACTTCTCAAATTAGCAAAACTACTAACCAAAAATAAAAATCTATTCTTAATTTCAAAAATGTAATAAAATCTGAAAACATTATTTAGAATGTGAGAAAACTAAAAATATACAGAGATAATGTTGACATATTTCAATGAAACTTTAAACCATAAGTTAGTTTAACTGAGTTAAATTATTAATTTTCCTCTTCCCTGTTTCCCCTCCCAGCCCAAAACAGTTGGCAACAATATCCTTTAAGTTGATTTTACTTAGGGATGATTTTTTAACAACTAAAGAAAATTAATTTGTTCATTTCTCTGTAGTCTTCAGAAAGATCAGTTGTCTGGAAACAAGATGAAAAGTAGTGGTTCACTCTTCAATTAAAAATACAAACCAAAGCCTACTTATATATATTTACTAGAGGCCCAGTGCATAAATTCGTGCACGGGTGGGATCCTTTGGCCTAACCAGAGATTGGGGTCGGCTACCAGGGGGAGGGACCTCGGGACGATGGCCGGCCACAGGAGGTTGGCTGTGGGAGTGCACTGACCACCAGGGTGAGATCCTGCGTTGAGCGTCTGCCCTCTGGTGGTCAGTGCACGTCATAGCAACTGGTCGAATGGTGGTTTGTTTGCTTAGGCTTTTATATATATATAGATGTATATATTTATACATATAAAACATACGGTTCATGTTTATAAAACCTCTAAGAATTTTTCATAAAACATGCTTATAAAGCATTTTAGAAAAAGCAAATCAAAATCACTATTTTTTAGACCATCTACTAAAATATATTATGGATACCAGTCTTGACTATGATATATTACTGTTTGGGATCTTTTTAATTGATTTTTAGAGAGAGTTGAAGGGGAAGGGAGGGAGAGAGACAAACATCAATGTGAGAAGGAAATATCAGTTGGCTGCCTCCAGCACACCCCCCAGAGGTAATGGAGCCTGCAACCTTGGCATGTGACCTGACAGGGGATTGAATCAACCTTTCAGTGCTTGGAATGATGCCCAACCACAGGGGCCAAGGCTGGGATCTTAATTATAAAATATTCCCATCTTCTTTTTATCACTCAAATGAATGGAAACTACAAATGGCTGAGAATTGATTCAAAAAAAGAAAAGGTTCATTTCCTCAGAAAGATTTGTGAGCAAACTCAAAGTACACATTAATAGGAGTCATAAAGGAGGACAAAAAAGTTTCAGATTATTTTAAAAGTTACAGTATTAGAAAAAATTATTAATATGAAAATCAGTGGGATAGGGTTATTTCAATAATGTAAAATAATACTTTATATATTACTTTCTCTGCATCTCCTACATCTTAGCACAAATTGAACAAAATAATAATTGTAAAGTTAAATTCCTAGCAGCAGCTCCAGACCAATTGTCTCTCTTTATAAAAGGTGAAACCATCCCCATCGTACAATAAAAATTGAGACAATGCAAAACTGAAGCCTATCTATCTTACTCAAATCCAATTTTATTTATATGACATGAGAGGCCTAGTGCACGAATTTGTGCACCAGTGGGGTCCCTTGGCCCGGCCTGAGGTATTGGGCCGAAACTGGCTCTCTAACATCCCCCGAGGCATCCCAGATTGCGAGAGGGCACAGGCCAGGCCGAGGGACCCCACCAGTGCACAATCGGGGCTGGGGAGGGACGCGGGAGGTTGGCCAGCAGGGGAGGGACTGCAGGAGGGCTCCAGAGCGTGTCCGGCCTGTCTTGCTTAGTTCCAATCAGCCAGACCCCAGCAGCAAGCTAACCTACTGGTCAGAGCGTCTGCCCCCTGGTGGTCAGTGCACATCATAGCGACTGGTCAACTGTCTGCCCCCTGGTGGTCAGTGCATGTCATAGCAACTAGTCGACTGGTCAACTGTCTGCCCCCTGGTGGTCAGTGCACGTCATAGCGAGTGGTTGAGCGGCCCTAGCATATCATTAGCATATTATGCTTTGATTGGTTGAACGGACAACCGAATGACTAGACATTTAGCATATTAGGCTTTTATTATATAGGATTGAAAAAAGAATTTAAAAAAAGAACATTCAAGATGATATAAAATTGGCCCTAACTTATTAAAATAATAAATAATGCATAGCCTAATTGCAAACTACAGTTTTCAAGTGAGTTAAATAAAAAGTATACCTTTTCTCCCTCTGGTTCCTTTGTTATTTATTTCATTCAAAACATTATATTCATTGACACAAATCATATATGTGATACTTTTAAAGTCTAGTTTAAGGATAGAAGAAAACACTCCAATTTTCTGTTTTTCCCCAAATTTGTATTCGCAGTTTTAACATCTGACAAAGTTTAAAAGGTAACTTGTTAAAATGCATTTTTCTAGGCACAATCAGAAAGTCTCCCATAAATTTATAATGAATATAAATGAATTATAGAAAAATCTGCTAAGCCATAAATGGATGATCACATTTGTAGTTATCATTATGTAGACGAGGACTGAGGTTTCACATTCCTTTACACTATTTACCTTAGGAATTCCAGTTGATGTTGGAGGAAGAAATGAGTGTTCACACTGCTCTAGGTACTTCTCTGAGTTTGTTTTTCCAAACAGAAGAGTAACCACAAAACCCCTGAAAAAAATTTAATTATAGATATGAAAACAAAATTTTACTATAATCTAACACATCTATTACCAAATACTTTTTCAGATTTAATAGGTGGCTTATCATTCACTAAAATATCAGTTTGTGACTTTGACAAGGCAAGGAATTGACAGATTTTGCTATGCTCTGAAATTTAAATTAACTATCAACATTTGTAAATTTACACAATAATGCCTTTCCAAGTTTTCATCCAGAATAAAAAAATAAAAAATCATAAAAAAATCTCAGGCAACATTTTCAAACTGTAGGAAAATCAGCCCTCCTTAAATAAGTAGGCTAGCTAATAACCAAAGACAAAAACAAGTGAGATCTAAATCAATAGTTAAAACACATGCTGTATTGTTAATTAACATGAGATTTAATAACTTCTCACTATGACTACAACACAAAGGCTACATGTAAAATAGTGACCCAATTTAATATTTATTTAAATAAGCCCGGAATTAATAAAGGAAAATTAAACTCAAGTTAAACTCAAGTATTGACTAAATGCTA